TTTTTCGCGGGGAAATGTGACACTATCGTGAGAGATCTTAGCAACCGTCAACAACAATAACACAACAAAATGTAGTTCCATATTCAATGTTTATTTGTAGCACAGGACACGTGAATACGTGGATATTTCACAAAGCACAGTTCAATAATATTTTAAGATGTAAGAATTAAGCATCTAGGTCGGTCGTTCCGAGTGAGTAGTTTTTGTAGTGTATTACTACGCAGTGTGATCAGGATACTATCAGTTCCCACGTGCTGAGATTCTATGAACACCTGTGTTATGCATTTATGAATGTAATTTTTGTCAATGGGTCTAAGCATACAGAATGTAAATATTTACTTATAACATGTGGTGTTTTATATTTCTCTTACAATGGCGTTGTCTTCGTTTCTACTTCTCGTGATTATTGTATGCAACAAGATGGCTGGCTATACTGCTAGACTATCAGTTTCAGACGTTGGTTGATACTGCTTGACTTTCGTTTAAGAATTTAAGAATAAAGTACCAGCAGACAGCCAGGAGTTGTATATTTGTAACGAAATGATAAATAGTATTATAGATACCGTTTCAGTTTGCTTTAGTTCTACATAATGTTTGATGTTCCTTATTACCTCCGATGTTAATATCATATAGTGCAATACATGTGTATTTTGTTTGTGCTGTCTTCATCAGCAAACAAACATTCAGAATAGATGCTCCTGAAGATGTATTTGTATTTTTTATTTTGTTAAAAATATAACTTCATAATAAAGCTCCATTTTTTCTTGACCAACACTTTTTATCTATTAATGTCCAACGCCTTACATAACTACCAATATAAATGGGTGTCCTTTTCTTGAACGCAGCCACAACAGTATTATGTTGTAAATATTGAAATAATTTTATTAACCTCTGATAAATTCGAATAGTTGCGACATTTACACCTATCATTGTCATTTTATATAAGTTATAAATAAATTATATCCTGTACTTAAATCATAGATAGTTTCTACCAATGTTATTGTCAAAAAAACAGTTCTTATTGTCAAAACAATTACTGAAAATAGTCACATTTCTCGAGTTGTTTATTTTCACGAGGAACGTTTATCCTAAATCGAAAAAGAGTATCAGTAATATTTACTTGGAATATAAACACACAGGATGTTGATCTCTATTTCCTTTACGAACCTTCATTTTTGTCGTTAGCTCGTTTGGAGTATCAAAGAGAAAAATGCATATATGCAAAAATGGATCGATACTCAGCAAGTTAGAATCTGTTGCGCTCGTTAACATGTTGACCTGCTAGGTCTCTGGCTGGTGTTTAAATGATTTTAATGAACACATACGCATGAGGTGTTTTTTTTCGCTTTGTTGATGTTTTATGAAATCAAATATGGATTCACTGAATTCTATAGCACCCAACATTGCTTGTCCTGCTGCCGTTAGTCACTGGTCTTACTAGCCGACCTTTATATATACAAAACTGTCACAGACGTCCTAGCCGGACTACAATCAAGCAGCTGTCCAAGGTAGCTGGTGGCTACGTTGCGATCGTTAAATAATGATAGAAATATTAATAATAATTCAATGTTCTTATATACCGCTTTTACACACCCTAGTTTGAAGGTCGTCTCAAAGCGGTTCACCAATTATTATCCGTGGTGATAGGGCCCTTGGAACCAGCCAATATATTTCTCAACTCCCTGGGGAGCATACAGCCGATGCTGCCATTTCAGCGCTCACAGATAGCGTTCTACAATTCTAGCACTGCCCAACCACGTACTTATTTACAGCTGAGTAGACTGGAACAAGCAGAGTAGGGTCTCTTGCTTAACGATACAACATTGTGCCGTAACCTGACTCGAACCAACAACCCTTCGGTCACGAGCCCGGAGTCCTATCACTAGACTACCGTGCCACCCATACATTTATATGTATATCGGCTATATGTATATGGCTATATGAAAGATAACATAGGCATGAGTTCAGTTTTTATTTTGTCCAGGTTTTTTTATTGGACTATATATAACATATAAAAGAAGTACACATTTCAACCATAATAATATCAAAATATTACAATGAATACTCTCACAGACATCTGAGTTTCAATATCATTTAGAGGGATCACAGACAGATGCACAGTATCTTGGAAAGACATGGAAACGTGTAACGATATGTTTAAAAAGGGGAAAATAGAATGCCATCCTTCGAAATGTATTTATATATATAGATATCTTAATATATTTCATTTATGTAAATATGTTAAATTAATCTTTATACCGAATTTAGGGCTATAGCGTTCATAACATTGTCAGCGTATTGCCATTCTCAAAATGAAACAGACAAAACCACTTAAAAAGGCCACAACAGTAAAACAAAATTGGAAATGAATAAATCCAAAACCTTTCATACAAATTATTGTTTTGTTTCTGTTTGTCCTTCTTTCGAAACAGAACTAAATTAATAATAAAAAAATTATAACAACATTACATTAAAAATAAGTAATAAACGTTAATTATTTAATATTATAATTCTACTTTAATAATTATACAAAAAATAACTTCACGAAACGATAATGACAGTTTTACTTTTAACTTATGGATAATACATACCAATAACTGAGTTAGAAAAACAGTTTCCAAATAATATTTCTCAACTTAAGAGAAAAACCTGCGAAACCATTCAATAATTACATATTTATTTGAGTAGTAAAATATGAAACACTATTTCACTGATGATAAATCAATCACAGCCTTAAGCTCTCAATGATACGATCATGTCACTCCACTGATCATAGAGAACTGTTCTTTGATTGTAAAACATTATATTCGCGAAGTGTCTCTAACTCACAGTTCTGTTGTAGCTGACCATACAGCAAGGTTTCATTGTCCATATTGACACTTTGCTGACTAAAACACGACAACCATGTCCGCAACACTTTTCGAAAGTCTGGGTTTCCGATCCCGTAAAGGAATGGATTGATTGTGGAATTGGCGGCTAATATCCAATAGAAAAACACGGATAGCCAAGATGGAATGCATGAAGGGCAAAATGCATACACAACGCTACTAACTGTATACGGAGTCCAACATACGGACGCTACTAGCGTCAAGAGTCCAAGTGACAGGATTGCTTTTTTGTCCTGACGTCCGAGAAAGTCTTTGACTACGTCATCACTCTGTTTGCGCGAGGGAAAGCTTGGTTTCTGCTGTATGATGCAATGATTGTTTCTACCCGATTTGATGAGTGAGGCAGTATCCACAGATACTCGTCGGCTATTTTGATGAGCACGATTGAAATTACTGAGGGAATTCTTAGGCACTTTATAGAAGGATGAGGATGAACGCCGCGAGGTGTACAGATAGACGCTGTGACGTCTAATGTCAGGCATATGTGTGTACAATGTCACATCTGACGCCGTGTCATCAAAACTGTTATTATTATTATTGAAGCTATTACTTCCGCCGGAGTCGGACGATGTTTTCCTGCTATATAACATATACGTATCTGATGAACTCATTGACCTTCGGATCTTCTTTGTGTTCCTTCTTCTCGATAATTTAAAATAAATCCCGAAGTTAAGTAACACGAGGCACGTAAGGGGAGTGAAATACTCTAGTACAAATGCGCAAATGGTAAAGATGAAGTTTCTCTTTGGTGGAACACGACAGTATGTCTCTGCTTTGCCCTCTGTCGAGACATCAAAACTCTCCCAGCCGAGGATGAGGGGAATGTGTAAAATGAAGCTGACGAACCAACAACACACAACAATAATGGCCGCCATTGTCCTGCTCTGACGCACCCGGTACGAGAACGGGAAGTTGATCGACCACCAGCGATCGAGTGTTAACAGTATAATACTGATGAAAGAAATGAAGAAAAGTGAGTATCTTACCATAAGGAAAACCCAACATGAAAAAGGCCAGAAAATCCACTTCCGACTTAATGTTTCCACAATCGACAGCGGCATCGATAGTCCAATAAGAAAGTCTGCTACAGCAATACTGAGGATATAAATATTCCGACATCTCCTAATACAGCGCTTTTTAATGAATATAAGAATTATAGCGCCATTCGCCAAAATGTTCACCACAACCATAGCGATAAGTGGCACGGCAGCCAGCCATAAACTTAATTGGTCCTCCTCGGGTTCAACGACTAGTCCAGACTCACTCTCACTAGACCCTGTGATGAGATGGCGGGAAAAGTTGTCGCTGAGAGAGGGCCCGTTGCCCAGCTCACTCCGGGCGTAGTAAATATCCTCGTTTGATTTCATTGTAGAACTTATTTCATCGTCACTCATTTTCCATAAGTCCATGTGGATTTCACTCATTCCAGACATTGATTAAGACAAAATATAATAAATGAAGTCTGTTTCTTGTTTCGGTTTAAGGCAACAAGCTATCCATTTCTACTGAAAGGCACGCGTCAACGTCCAATAACAGCCGAGGTAGACACGCTGTTTGTTGTAAGGGTCTCGATCATTGTCCTTTTGACGATTTTTAAAAATAGATTGTTCCGATCTGCTTCAGTCCTTTTACAATAAACTGTAATAGGTCCAAATGTTGCATCTAAACCATACACCGGGCACATGAATAAATATTGTGGCGGTGGTATGTTTCTGCAGTGCTGCTCTGTCTAGCAACTCTTGGAACGCTCAGTACGTATCTGTTCCAATCCACGGACTGATACAGAGCCGTACGCGAGGTCGGTTTTATTCCTGCTCCACGGCAGCAAAGCTGTCGTCATAAAACCGAGGACGAAGCCTTGCAGTAGGAAGGATGCTGGAGCCGACACTGCCGGCAGACAACGATTCATAAACAACGGCCTGTCAATCACTCCCCGGAACAGCCTCTGTAGCCGGTATCGATCGGCGTCATGGCTCGGGATTAAAATCCTCGGCGACAAAGTCAGCAATGTGTGTATTGCATGTAAGACAAACATATATATATACGTCCTCGGCGTGTGTTGGTATGGTATGTTTTAGCGTAGTTCGGCTCTTGTTGAGATCTTAATTGTTTAGTCCATGTTTAAGCCTAGAAAATTTGAGTGAAAATAAAACGCAATGACACATTTTCGGGGCCATTATACCACAAATATCTACGGATGCAGTAGCATGACATTGTCTTTGTAGATACACTGAAGGTCGACGTCAAACCGTCACTCAGTGTTATTGATATTAAAATTTGAAATGCATCGAGCATTATTTTGATAATTTTAAGTTATATATATAATCTTTATTTACTTTACAACAATTATAAAACACGTTTATACAAATTATACTTATCACTCTTGTTGGCCCGGATGTTAGCGTGCGTGAGGTCTTACTGTGGGAGGAAACCGGAGTACCAGAAAAAAAACACATGGTCGGGCAGGTGACCCAAAACCTTTTCATGTCCGATTGGGGAATCGAACCCGGGTCGCCTTAGAGACAGGCAAATGCGCTATCCACTGCGCCACCCGATCATTTCAATTTCAAATTGAACGATGATAATTCATTTTAAAATTAGTGAAACGACGGATTCAGTTATGATCAACACACAATCGAGAAATTATTCGATAAAATCCAAAAAAGTTTACTATTCTAATCTATGAAAAATGAGGGATTATGTAAGGAATTGTTTTTTGTTTTGGTCAGGCTGGGAGTTGTTTTCTCCAGTTGAGCACTAGAAAGAAAGTTGTAAAACGATGAAAGGACCTATGAAAGTCAGACTTACATATCTATTTAAGTTTAATGAAAAATTTCAGTCACAGTTCATCCTGCAGGTCCGGGATCGAGAAAAGAATACACCTACTGTTACCCACTGCATAAATCGTAAGAGGCCACTAATGTGCGACCTCCTGCAGAATTAGGAATTTGCTTTTTATGCCCTCTACTTGGGGACACACCAGCGACCAGGTGGAATGCTATGCTGGGTGCTTTCAGCATGGTATTTCAGAGAGATAGCACTTTAAAGTCGGCATCCGATCCGCGCTATCACAAGGAGGCAATAACACCAACATACCCTGTCTCTGACACACATACACACATTCATGCATACACAACACACATGGAGGTACGTCCTTAAATGACCCTAGCTGTTGGTAGGTCGTTAAACAAAATAAAAACCAAACCAAACCCGTCATAATTAAAACTCTCTCGTTTGTTTCACTTCTGTTTTATACAAGATCGTCGATTTCATGATTGATGCGATATACGAAAAGTTTGTTTTCTAGCGAAATGCAGAACTTTTTTTTTTTGTTTGTAATAAGGGCAAATTGAAGATACATTCATGAGCGAGTGATTTGGCGGCCATGATGAACTGTGGGCTATGACGTAATATCCGCTTGTTGATGTAACAAGTGTCACTGAGTGCACAATCTGAGTGCAAATATGCTACAGTACAAACACTATTATTCTAATTTACCAAGGGGGGTTACCAGTAGAGGTGATATTTGTCTAGTACATCGGAAAGCTTTGTAGGTGTGAAATATCCACCATTCATAGGTGAAGCTATATTTGTTAATTTAATATTGATTATATTAATTAATTTCGCACTTCCCGTTGGGGATAATAGGTTGAGTAGGCTATGTAACTGAGGCTACCCTTTCCACATGTATAGTGTCCCTATAATTAAACTTGTGTCGTAGAACCATACGAAAGGTTGAATCTCACAAATTAATCAAAGCATATTTTCGTTATGATTAGAGGACACGTGCTATTCTAGCAGTCCTAGATAGGGTCAGTAGCATGTCCCCAAGAAAGCGTGGTCGGAATGTTTGTCTGTTGTTGACCTGGCCGTTCTATTGAGCAGTGGCGTGTTGGTCCTATTACGCTTCTCAGCTGTATGTCTGAAGTCTTCAAATATCAATAAAAATCGTAATTACAACCCTCTGCCATTGAGACAGAATCTGAGACGCTGGAATTTCTCCAAGATTAGAATATACAAATCATTCTTCGAACCTTGATTAGCTCCGATCATGTTACTACTTTGTATTGTTGTTGAGGAAATAAATGGCGAGGACAGAAATGTCATTGAGCTAGACAAGTTGAATACTGCACTTTGGTGCACTTATGTTAAACTTAACTTTATCGTCAAAACGAACACAGTTCTCTAACGAGAGAAAGGAGGGTATACTATGGTGAACAAAAAAACCGGAAACATAAAAAGTAATCCACAGGAACTGAGAAGAATCCAAACTAGGAGACTTTTTATGCTATATTTCTGCAGTACACTGATGTCAAATTCGAAGTTTTTCTCAAATTTTCTCTAATGCATAGGAGGAGAAATCAAAATCCCTGAAACATAAAACAAGGGGGAAAATAATCATACAAAATTAATAATAGCAAAATAAAAGAAGCCTTATTTGAAATGGTTAACGTTTCAAGTAATCGCAGCAGTAATCTCTGGGAACGAGGATAATGATGTGGCTCCATTTATATTCTGTGTACAACAGTACATCATATAACCGGCCAGTACACCCTATTACCGGCCAGTACATCATATTACCAGCAAGTACATCATATTACCGACCAGTACATCATATTGCCGGTCAGTACAACATATTACCGTCCAGTACATCATATTGCCGGCCAGCACATCATATTACCGGCCAGTACAACATATTACCGGCCAGTTCATTATATAACCGGCCAGTACATCATTTTACCGGCCAGTACATCATATTACCGGCTATTACATCATATTAACGACCAGTACATCATATTACCGGTCAGTTCAACATATTACCGTCCAGTACATCATATTACCGGCCAGTACATAGTATTACCGGCTAGTACATCAAATTACGGGTCAGTACAACATATTACCGGCCGGTACATCGTATTACCGGCTATTACATCATATTAACGACCAGTACATCATATTACCGGTCAGTACAGCATATTACCGGCCAGTACATCGTATTACCGGCTATTACATCATATTAACGACCAGTACATCATATTACCGGTCAGTACAACATATTACCGTCCAGTACATCATATTACCGGCCAGCACATCATATTACCGGCCAGTACAACATATTACCGGCCAGTACATCATATTACCGGCCAATACATCACATTACCGGCCAGTACAACATATTACCGGCCAGTTCATTATATAACCGGCCAGTACATCATATTACCGGCCAGTACATCATATTACCGGCCAGTTCAACATATTACCAGCCAGTACATCATATTACCGGCCAGTACATCATATTACCGGCCAGTACATCGTATTACCGTCTATTACATCATATGACCGGCCAGTACATCATATAACCGCCCAGTACATTATATAACCGGTCAGTACATCATATAACCGGTCAGTACAACATATTACTGGCAAGTACATCGTATTACCGGCTAGTACATAGTATCGACGGCTTATACATCATAATACTGGCCAGTAAATCATATTACCGGCCAGTACAACATATTACCGGTAAGTACAACATATCAGGCTATAACATAATATTACCGGCCAGTACATCATATTACCGGTCAGTACAACATATGAATGGCCAGTACATCGTATTACTGACTAGTACATCATATTACCGGCCAGGACATCGTATTACCGGCTATTACATCATATTACCGGCAAGTACAACATATTACCGGTCAGTACATCATATTACCGACCAGTACATCACATTACTTTGCCAGTACACCACATTATCGGCCATTGTATCATTTAACCGGCCAGTACTGCACATTACCTTGCCAGTACACCACATTACCTTGCTAGTACAACACATTACCTTGTAATGTTTTGTATTTGGTACGAATGTGTGTTCATGCTCTGGTATATAATATATATTTTCCTTTAACCGAAATATATTTTCATTAAGATTTTATTAAAACGTGTTGACATGGTAAAGCTCTATTACTTAGAAGAGAACTTATCCCTGTTTCCCATTAAGTAAATACCTTTTGGCGTAACCTGTCGTTGTCCTTGCGCTCTATAAGTACAGGTTAATAAAACAAGACAGAATACTAATTATATACTGAGGTCGTGCATTGCTGTTAGTCTGGAGTTCGTCTCTATATTTAGTATTTGTACAGTGTTGATCAATCAGAAAGAAAGGCGACGCTGAATTTGGTACGAATTTTAAGCGTTTCTAGAGTCGTGTAAATAACATGTATTTGAACTGCAATAACAACATTAGTATGTAAAATAGGGCGTCAAAGACGTCTTTCCGTGGGAAGTTTTAAATAAGTTATCTCCCCTACCAGTGTCAACTCTACAGTATGCATGAATATATATATCAGCATTTTAAGATTATATGATTTGTCAGTCATGTTATTTTAACTTAAACGTAGAATTAACTTAATGGACATACTTTAGACATGAGCCGATGTGGAATATTCGTATTCAGTGTACAAATTTTACGAAGAAAAACCCAAACAGCTCGTGAACATGAATACTTTTTACTACCATTGACTAAGAAAATATACATTTAATATTCATACTAGTATGACATCATTCATATTACAAAGACTATAAGTAAAATGGATCATTTTAAAATATATAGCTAGGGGTTGTCCTTTTTTCTCTCTCCAAGATGTCATGACAGGATTGGACCAATAAATGTTTCATGATTTAAGATGCAATATGATAAATTATGCCTCATCCAAATTTCGACTTATAATAAAGTGTGCAGATAAGCACATTTATGAGTGGACATTGGTTTTAAAGTAACTGATATGGGCTGAACATAGCACAAATAATGGTGAACCAGGCAACAGACTT